GTAAGTTCAACTTTTAAAAAACATGTCTCAAGACTTTATGGCGGTTTTCCCCATCCCACTGCATCTCAAGTTTTTAAATGAAGAAAGTACTCTTTGTAATTGGTTTTCGGTCCTTTGTATTAAACTATACTTACATGCATGGTGCTGTTTTTTTTCTAATTGTTTAAGCAACTTTATATATGGTTTATAAACATTATTTTAAACATTATGCACTTTTTTTTTCAAAGATAGTCGTGTTATTTTATTACGCTTTGAAGAAACGTGCATAATATTTTGCTTGATGTGCCCTCTTGTGGCCTCAGGAGAGAAGCCAAAAGCTTTTTTCCCCCTAACTGAAATTATGCCTTTTAAATTCGAATATAATTCGAATTTTGATAATATTTAAGTAGAAAATTCGAATTTAGTTTTTCAGTCATTTTGACAGCCCTAAAATACAGCACACCTTTGTTTCATGTGTTCTTTTCTAGAATGGCGTAAGTGTTGTGGACTCATCCGTTGCAGGGCTGGGCGGCTGCCCTTATGCCCAGGGGGCTTCTGGGAATGTTGCAACCGAAGATGTGGTCTATATGCTGCATGGACTGGGAATCCATACTGTAAGTCCAGGACTGTGTCTGTGTCACATTTACATCTTTTTCTATCAGTCAGATTTAACAGCGGTCTGGATTCTTTTAGAAAATTCTGATCTGTAAATGCATAATCTCACCAGTCCAACCTAAAACAACTTGATTTACTATGGGGCGTCACACACGAAATCATGAAAAATTCGTATTATTATCAATGTTGAAAACAGTTGGGCTTGCTTAATCTTCTCGTGGAAACAGTGATACATTTTTTTCAGGATTCTTTAATGAATAGAAAGTTCAAAGAACAGCATTTATTTGAAACAAAATTCTTATGTAAGGAAATAAATCGTTTTATGAATGTCTTTACTGTCACTTTTGATTAATTGAATTGCTGAATAAAAGTATAATTTCTTTTTAAAAATCTTTCTTACCTTTTGAATGGTAATATATATATTCCATAAAGACCAACGATAATGACCAACTTCAGAAAAAAAAAGATTAATATTTATTAAACATAAACTGTTCTGCCGCCTCGTTCTAATTTTATTAATCATTTTAGTGTAGGAAAACCTAAAAATTAGGGGACTAATTTCAGTCAATCAATGCGTCTTGATCATTTTCCTGCAGCTTTAAAGTCATTATTCACTTGTGGGATCAGAAAATGGTGGAAAATGGTCATAAAATAATAATTATACTTTAAAAAATTGAAATGTATGTCACAAAAACATCACTGAACCTCTGGGTATAAAACTACATAATAATAATAAAAAAAAAAGTTATACCACACATTTAAGCTGTAGTTTCTTTGTTTCAGGGAGTGGACCTGCCCAAACTGTTGGCCGCTGGCTCATACATCTGTCATTCACTCAACAGAAGGACAAATTCAAAAGTAGCTCAGGCCTCCTGCAAGCTCTGAAGTCTTCTTTCTCTTTATAGTGATTATAGTCCCTGGTATGATGACATTTAAAAAATTTAAATGTATGTCACAAAAACATCACTGAACCTCTGGGTATAAAACTACATAATAATAATAATAAAAAAAAAGTTATACCACACATTTAAGCTGTAGTTTCTTTGTTTCAGGGAGTGGACCTGCCCAAACTGTTGGCCGCTGGCTCATACATCTGTCATTCACTCAACAGAAGGACAAATTCAAAAGTAGCTCAGGCCTCCTGCAAGCTCTGAAGTCTTCTTTCTCTTTATAGTGATTATAGTCCCTGGTATGATGACATTACTCTTTTGGAGGTCACTATACGTTACCCCTTAGTATGCAGTGAAATCTCTTAATTTATAGTATCTTTGAAATAAATATCTCTAAACACAGTGGAGCTGGACATTGGGGATGAGCGCATCCGTTCTCTACTGTGAATGTATGAATGAAGCTAGTGATGAAATGGGCGCTTGTGAGCTCGTATCACCCAATATTCACAACCAGATGGACCCAAACTGTTCTCTAGTGCCTTGATTTCTGATGACAGGCAGCATTTGAAAACTACAGTGTATATGTATATTTCTAATTAATTAATTCAATATTTACATAGTGCTGAAGCAAGATCGTTTGTTGCCTAAAGGCAATAAATGCCAGAACGGGACAGAATTTGACTTTGCAGAATATTATGAATCATATCTAGATGCAAATGTCTTGCTAGTTAGACTGCATCACATTACTAATCTTGATTAGTATATTTCTTTGCTAATGTATCATAGAATGAGACGTCACAAATGGTTTTATATCTGATATCCCCATACTTGTGTTGGTGTGCTTTGACTCATTTTGAGACGGAAATATCTGTCTTTACCAGACAAATGCATTACTAAACTGGTTTTCATAACAAACCCATTATAATGAAAAGATTTCACGGAACTTCAGATACCAAAATAATGCACCATTATGACTACTTACTGATTTTGTTTCTTTCCAGGAAAAAAAGAATAATTTGAGTGCTTTCTCTGTGCTAAGGAAAATCCCTTTTCATTTCCTTTCATTTATTGTTGAGACATGTCTTGTGGGTTACAACAGCTTATTATTGTTTGTCTTTGTGTTGATAACTGACATTGTTGAATTATTATTATTATTTTATTTTTTTTGCTTCAGAGTTTTTTTGTATTTAATAAGAGATTATTACTTTCACACTTTTTAATGTGAATTATGGTGTTCTTATGCAGTGTGCCAAACTTCTCTTTCAGGTTTACTTTTACCGGTTATGCTGACAATTGAACTTTTCATAACAGTAACAAAGGTAAAACTGGATCCTTCTGACCAAGAGGAAAGTAACAATTTCAGTTACAAGAAGTACTTCTGTTATCTGTTGAAGGCCGATTAACTGGATCAACAAGTTTTACGCATTATGTTTGACATCATTCACGCACCCTCAATGCATTTTACAAACTCATACATGACTAGGAAAAAAAGTTATTTAGAAGTGAATAATAGCTTTTGTACTTTGATCAGGAAGTAATGTTCTGTTAATGCAAGGCTGTGCATGTACATATTTGCTTATTTTGAAGAACAATTTTATAAAAAGTATCTATAAATATCTTTTTATGAACTAATAAGCTATACTTTGAGTAAGCATTACGATACATTTCAGAGATTTTGATCCATTCAAAATTCCACAGTGAACTGTTTGGAAAGCAATTGCTGATTTGGAGCTCAGGAAACATTTCTTATCACAGTTGAAAACAGTTCAGTGTCTTTTGCAAACCATGTTAAGTATTTTAACAATTTTTGATGACTAGAAAGCTCAAAAGGCATTTATTTGAAATATTTTTTGTAGCAATATAAAAGTCTTTACTGTCAATTTAATGCGTTCTTGCCAAATAAAAGTATTAAAAATCTTAGTGACTGCAAAGATTTGAATAGTTGTGCAAAGATTTGAAATAGATCAGTGTAAATTGATCAGTATTACAATAAGTTCTGACAAAGGATAATAAATAATGATTTTCATGTTCCATGTTCTGTCAAAGTTAATTACAATTTTTGATGAATAGCTCAAAAGGCATTTATTTGAAATATTTTTTGTAGCAATATAAAAGTCTTTACTGTCAATTTAATGCGTTCTTGCCAAATAAAAGTATTAAAAATCTTAGTGACTGCAAAGATTTGAATAGTTGTGCAAAGATTTGAAATAGATCAGTGTAAATTGATCAGTATTACAATAAGTTCTGACAAAGGATAATAAATAATGATTTTCATGTTCCATGTTCTGTCAAAGTTAATTGAAGTTGTTTGTCCACTTCCTTAAATCTGTTTCCTCTTTGATTGTTTCCTCTTTGTCTGTTCATGATTTAAGCTATTGCTTTTTCGCACCAAAAAAATCTCTTCAAAATGTGATAAAATGGCTGTTTTTGTACTTTATTTATAGAGTATCAAAATTAATAAACTTTAAAAGCATCCTCATTTACAATACCTGTCATACAAACGAAGAACTCCATTATGGCAATTTTATAAAAACATCTTGAAAAAAATTAATAAGGTAATATGTCAGTGCGTTGATTCAGCTTTTGATACAAAGGCAGAGTGTGCAGCTTCATGAAAAATCTCAGCTAAAATATGTAACACAATCATAACAGCAAGTCTGAACAAAGTCAGACTCTTACAAATGCTTGCCAAGTGTAGATCAGATGAGTCTACAGTAAAGTTACAACAAATAATGGAAGAAAAACTTTCCCTGATTGTCCATCTTATGGAAACTGTGTGATATTTAATATATACCTCTCATTTTTCCAGCATATGAATGAGTTCAGGTGTGTTTGCATATAAACCACCACTATGATCTCTATGAAACGGTGATAGTTGGAACAGCTTCAACTATAAAATTTCCGATCTTTGTAACAAATACCAGGACATTGAGAAATGAGACACCGTGAACAATCACACCCATGAGGCATTTTCATTACGTCTTTTAACACACAATAGAACCTCACTCTTCCTCCTATCTTTTTGTGTGCATGTGAAGGTGGAGGTGGGTTTTGTATGCAGGGTGTGTTCTCCATGAAAGCCTTCCTGGTTATTTGATAACTCTTCAGCTTTTTCATGGGTTTTCACCTTTGATCTTTTTAAGAAATGAATCAGAAGAAAAGGAATGTATTCGGTCCCAATTAATTCTTAGGATCATGGCGGTTATGCAGTCATTTGAGCTGGAGTTGAAGCCTGAAGGAACTAGGCTGGTAATCAAAAGACTCCAGGTTTGAACCCAGGTACCAGTGATATCACAATCTTGGTTCATTTCCACTGCCCCACTAGGCAGGCCACTTAATCCCTACTGTTTCCAAGGCAAAAGTTTCTGAATCTGGCATATAGAATTTCATGAGCCTTCTGCCAAATGACCCAAGATTGGCAGTTTTACAGGTCTTGATGGACAATGAAAGACTTTGAGACTGTCCAGACATTCAAAGCTTGTTTTATACCTAAATATGACTTTGTGAATACTTGGAGAAAAACAAATGTTCTTCAAAGTATATCAGACTGTATCTTGTACATGGGTACTGAGAGATTTGGAGCAGAAGCTCTCATGTCGACACTCAATCTGTACGCTGGCTTAAATGTTGGCTTGATTTCAGATTTAAACTGTGGTTTAGACCCAGGTTTATAGGCAGGCTTAAAATCTGTTTTAGACTCCAACTTAAACTCGGGTTTGCTGTCCAATTCATGCATAGGAAGGGTGCAGCTGCTGTCCTCGTCTCGGTATCGTCCATTAAGTGGTGTGCTGCTTCTGTGGTGCCTCTTCATCTTGTTGACACATCGAATGATGCGTTTGGAGATCAGGTAGATGATCTCACAGACACTGAGCACTATGCAAAGAGCTGAAGCTCCAACCATGAAGTAGGTGAAGACTCTTTTCTCTGTGGGTCGACCAATGTAACAGTCCACAATGTTGGGACATGGCTGGACATCACACTTCACCAACCTTGGCAGGTAGAAACTGTCATAAATGTGATGGAGGATGTACAGGAAAGTGATCTCGATGCCAGTCTTGACAAAAAGGCTTATCAAGTATGTCCACCACAGTCCACCGTGCTTCCTCCCCGTGTTGTCATAGAGTTTGGCTTTTTCACCATGCTTCTCGCGGTACTTGCGTTCACGCTCATCGCGGTACTTCACGTGCATGACCACCATCAGCGATGGACAGGTGACAAAGATGAGCTGCAGGGCCCACAGTCGGATGTGGGAAATGGGGAAGAAGTGGTCATAGCAGACATTTGCACAGCCCGGCTGCTTGGTGTTGCAGTCAAAGTCTTTCTGCTCATCACCCCAAACTCTCTCAGCCGCCACAACGTAAACCATCACCCTGAACACAAAAACCACTGAGAGCCAGATCCGGCCAAATGCAGTGGAGTATTTATTCACCCCACTAAGCAGGGCTTGAAAAGTCTTCCAGTCCATGGCTCAGAGCAAGGCCTACTTACACTTCTCTTCTCTGAATGTGTCCTCTGATCCTCTTTGACACTGAATATCTCTGATAAAGAATACAGCAACCTAAAGATGGAAAAAAAATCAAGAGTGAACTCATTCAAAACAACTTCTTGTATTTAAAAGCAAGATGGTGGGATAGTACAACCATTTTCTCACCCTCATGTTATTCCAACGCACTGAAAATGTCCTTTTTTTAAGAATAACTAGGCCACTCTTATCCATATAATGAATGGATTATAGTGATTTTGGGAAAGAGGTCCTGAATGATTCATTCATTCATTAAACTGATTTGCTTCTTGAATTCAACTCACTGACTCAATGATCTGATCACAGCAATTAGCAGATCACTTGAGGTGAGGATTAAAGTGAATAATTACTTAATTTTCAGTCTGATATTCACAGAATGCTATTGTATGACTTCAGAAGACTTTAAGTATATAGTGCACAAGTCGTATGGATCTTATTATGCATTCATGATGCATTTTTTTTATTTTGGAACTTAATATCCATAACAAATCAAACAGGTTTGAATGGACATGAAGGTGAGTAAATTATGACAGAATTTTAATTGTGTGTGTGTGTGTGCGTGCGTGCGTGCGTGTGTGTGAACTATCCCTTTAAATGTTTTATAACGGTGTTCAAATCATAAAATGTTTCATGCACGATAGGCCATCACACCATTCATCACTATCAGAAAAGGCAAAAAATCATTGCTCTATCTATATTTATATATTTATAACAGTTTTATAGCTTTTCCTTTAATAAACATCCCCCATATAATGTCTTCCTCAACCGAATGGATGTAAGCTTACAAAGACCGCGCGTGCCATCAGCTCTTTAACATTTGATGATATTTTAAGTAGCTTCACATGTGTTGAATCTAGTCAGTTCTACTGTTTTGTGTAAACTAATCAAAGTTAAACCAGTGCAGCTCTCTTTCTTGCTACTTTGTGTCCTTAGTTTCTAGGATGTTGTTATCAGCGATTTTCGTTTTTAATCGTCAATCGCACTTAAGCTTTTCTCCAACACTCAAAATCTATAAAATAATTATAAAATATTTCAGTTTTTTTCTCCTTTTGTAAACGCTGGCATATTTGTAATAATGTAGGCTACCCTATTAAAACAGCGCATAAAATAGTCTAAATAGATTTCACAAAAACTAAATCAGCAGACTACAATCTTAAACGTAAGCTAATTAAACAGTTCAGCCACTTTCCCTTTAATTAGTGATCAATAAAATCGATTCGATCTAGTAGAAATGACAGGTCAGGGTCAGTGAACGGAAACAAGGATGTTATAATGAAAACATTTTTGTAGCGCAAATGCTGACGAGTTGCTTGTCATTTGAACAATGTGAATCGCTTCTAAACTTGCACAAAAACGAAGCTTATTACTTACTTTGGATGTATCTTTTCTCTTGTAATTCAGCGGCTGTTAAACTCTTCTCTGAAGACCTCTGCTTGGCTTCCCTGTGGATCTGGTTTGGTAACACGCCTCAGTGAGGGTGGAGTTCAGTATCCAAACTAGAGGACACAGCTTTGCTATAAACCTCTTACTGTAAAGATAGCATGATAATTAAATACATATTTGTATTTTATATGCTCTCAAAATCATCATGCTTTTTGGTGTATTGTTTTAAATGTCCAGTGTTGGAAACAGGATTGTTCTGTTTATGAAGTTACAGTGTTAAGTCTAAAATTACTGTAATATGACTCCATAAAAAGTTTTTTTTTAGTATACTGTTAATATTATGGTACTGCATTGTGTTTTATGGAACAAATAGTAAACCCTTGCCTGTGCAGCCTAGCAACATTTTCCATCTTATTGTACAATAAATAAGACTCCCTTTGTTTGGACAGTTCTGTCAAGTACAAACTGCGTGTTAGTGGTTTGTGGTGTTGCCAACGTCTGCAGGCGGCTTCTCCGAGTTCAAACTTGTCCATGAAAGTCTGCACTCCATAGTCACGTAAAGGACCACACCTCGTCCTGAACAACAGCTTTAAGAGATATTTTTTGAGCTTTTGTTGCTTAGAAACTTGTGTGGTGGATCTCTGGAGGCTAGGCTACTATAAATATTTTGTCAGGCACCTTTTTAGCATCATGCTGAGAATCCGGGTAGCCTACTAATTATTTTGGGTAATTAAAGTTAATGTGTTCCAAGTAACTCTTGGATTAGGTCTGGGATGCAGGAAATGCTTTTTGAAGGCTCTTTGGTTTGGATATTAATTTATCTCAGCTTGATTCTCCTTATAGAATGAGTGCAACAGTTTTCGCTAGTGGTGGGAGCCTAATGGTGAAGGATTTGTGCTGGTAATAC